ACTCCCCTCCACAGCGTCATAAGCACAACAAAGACTTTCTTTCCCCAAAAGCTATCAACACCTCAGGGGAAATATTTAAAACAAGAAATAAAACTATATACATGTCTTATGAAGATTTGACATAAACTCATACGGTAACATTGTATAATAAATATTATAAAAATCACTGTCAAAATTATAGGCCTATATCTCTTATTAATGTAGAAAATATACACAAAAATTATTGCAAATCGTCTAGGGACCTATATACCATCAATTATTCATAGAGATCAAGTAGGATTTGTCCCTGGCAGAGAAGCCAGGGACAATACTATTAAGACAGTGACCCTTATGAGATATGCAAACGCCAACAGACTCCCACTATTTTGAGTTGAGTTGGGCTTTTTTGCTCCAGACATTGTTACAGATAGGCATACCCAGAACGGTAGTAGAAAAAATTATGGCCCTATATAAAAGACCTACCGCAAGAATCAGGATAAATGGCTTTCTTTCATCTCCTATTAATATTCAAAATGGTACTAGACAGGGATGCCCCCTATCACCAATGCTATATGTCTTAGCCATGGAACACCTGGCTGTAGCAATCAGGGAAAAGCCGTCAATCAAAAGGGATCCACATCCTAAGGGATCAATATAAAATAGGACTTTACGCAGATGATGTATTATTGTATGTAACAAACCCAAGAATAGGGTTCCGTCATTGTTGGAAGAATTCCGGAAATTTGGGTTGGCTAGTAATTTTAAAGTTAATCTCCAAAAGACAGAGGTACTGAATGTAACACTATCTGATGAGGAAGTCTCCCACCTGATTGACAGCTTTCCGTTCAGGTGGCAGACCTCAGCCATAAGATATCTGGGGATACTTCTCCCTAAAGACCTAGCGGAACTCTATGATCTTAATGATAGACCTCTGTTACAGTCTTCTATCGCACAAATGAAGAGATTGACACCCTATAAACACTCTTGGGTAGGTAGAATAGCTCTATATAAAATGGATATACTTCCTCGTTTTTTATATCTTTTTCAGACCTTACCTATAGAATTACCGGCCTCCTTTTTTCATCAAAATCGCTCAGCACTGATTCAATACATATGGGCAGGGCGCTCTCCTAGAATAGCATATGATATTTTAATAAGAAGGAAGGAGGGGGGAGGGTTGTCCCTTCCAGACCTGAGAACATACTATAATTCCACACTATTGGCACATATACTGGATCGACAGTTTAACGATATAAATAAGCTATGGGTCACTCTGGAGAGGGAGATCTCCCCTATCCTTTTTCAATACCATGGATAGAACCCGAGTTAAGACCACAGAGGCAGGACCTCCCCTTCTGCGTGCCTCCTCTCCTGAAGATATGGGACAACATGGTAAGAAAAAAATCAGATCTCCACTATTGGGGGACCCATGACTCCTATCATGGGGAACCCAATATTTAAACCAGGGGAATCAAAGGGACAGTTCTTACAATGGACTTGCTGCTTACCCTCACCTATAATAGATGCTCTTACATTAGTAAATCTGAAGCCAATGACTTCTCTGATAACCGAACAAAGGTGTGGATGCAGTCAATGGTTGCAGTATTTTCAGCTTAGAGCCTTATATGAAAGTTTGCAAGAGAAAGCTTTAATACATAAACCATTGACTTGGTTTGAGAATATGTGTTGTCAGAAAGAAAGACCAACTCACATGATTTCTATATTATATCAGAATTTAATGAAAGAACGATTCCCTACAAGACCCTACTTTATGACAACATGGGAGAATGATTTACAAATCCCCCTCCAAAGGAGGAAATACAAAAATCTTTTATTATGACTTATAAGATATCTATTGCCGCCTCATACCAAGAGAAGGGGTACAAAATCCTATCTCGATGGTGTAAATGTCCGACCAAACTTCATAGAATTTTTCCGATAAAATCATCAGTGTGCTGGAGATGTGGGAAGGAGGAAGGAACCTATCTTCACGTATGGTGGAAATGTGAACATATAATGCCTTTTTGGGAATATGTTTTTGAAATTTATAGCCAGGTAATGGGCACTAGAGTGGATCCATCACCTAAAATAGCTCTCCTTTCAATTTTTCCAGGCTCGGTAAAAAAAAGCAAAAAACAATTTAGATTTTTTATAGCAGCAGCAAGAATATTGATTCCACGATACTGGAACACACAGAGAGTTCCAAATATTAAGGAATGGGCCATGGAAATCAATAAGATTCAGAGATAAAAGGTTAAAACTAACTGTATATTGTGATCATTAAAGAAGACACCTGTCTTCTTCAATGATCAACACCTGGTTGTGACTAATAGCTTATGTGGATTGGAGCAACATTCACCATATTTATTCCCAGATCATTTTTTTGTACAAGTCATTCAGAATTGTGAAAGCTGGTTGGATGACCAGTGAAATGTCTTCAAGAAAAATACAGCAAGTCTAGTTGCCTTGACTTATTTTTTACAGATATACTTTGGTAGTAATGTTAATAGGCTCTCAAATAGCTTTTTAAATACTTTAATATAAAACCCTGGAAGTACCATACACACAACAGAATTTACCTAATATATTTACAATTTTTAATGTTTTCCTCATTCAGAACATTTGATGCATTTTGTTCTTGTTAATAGGACAGGCAGAGCTTCGCTGTGGTCCTAAAGAATGTTGACAACCAGGGGTGCCACCTTTGGCAAAACAGTGGCCCCCGACCTTCAATACAATAAACAGGATAGCATTTTTTTTTTTACATTCTGCAATTACAAAGGTGTAAATACCTTAGGTAAAGCTTCTAGAAGGAAGCCAATAGCCAAAGTCACTATCATAACAATTAGAGCAGAGATAAGACCAGAAATCTGCAACGATAAAAATCAATGAATTTATGTTTTGGTTACTGTTGTGAAGAAAATGGCAGATTCAAAAAAATAAATGGTTATTTTAGATACACAATATGATTTTTGCCTCGTCCAACTAACCTGCAGTCTCCACTGCCCTCTGAAAAAGGATCCAATGAGGTACTCCCACCTCCTGAATGCAGTTTTTTTTTGCAATACATGGGTACATGGTTGCAGCATGGTCCCATTCATTACAATCGACAAGTGCTACTGTTTTTCAAACTCAGCATGCTATATATTTTTTGCCACCCTGCACCAGAAAGCACCACTGCCATGACAATGCATACAGCACTGTGCAGTTTTACCACCCCCTTGCCACCTATGTGAATAGGACCTAGAACAAATAAGTCAGATTCTTTGAAATCTGCAGGTAGCCATTGTTAACTTCTACTTCTGAAAAGGCTAGTTTCCTGGCTGTCATGATGCTCTAATGCTTTACTATTTTCTGACTCATTTTCTGACTCACATCCATATGCCCATTGTGATTTCCAACATTTTTCTGAACATTCGCAAGTCCATCTGTGTTGTCCCCAGGGATCAGTGGTTTATTATTTCGTCTTGAGAAAATAATCTTTGATACTTTGCCATCTCTTTTATTTCTATACACATCTACCCCAGGGATAATGCGCTTTGTTTATTGTCCACTGTTTATTAACCTCTGTTTTGGACCATATATCTGGATGCAATTTGCTCCCTGGACTCTCAGTATTAAAGATTTCATATAAGGCCCTTGTGGTTTGTGGTTACCATCCGATTTCACTTGTTGCATGTTTGTTACAGATCAATGACTCAAAAAGCATTGTAACAACTAAATTAGTGTGACATCTGAGTAACTAGACTTTTCAGAAACAATTATGTATTAGCAATAGCATCCTCAGGCTCAGCACAGGTTTTCTTTAAGGATGAATTGTGCACCTAACCCCTAGTTAACCCTAATGCTGGTCATACATATGACACTTTTAAAACCCATTCACACCAACATCTGAGCACAAAAAAAAAACTACCACCAACAGCTTCTATCGGACTGAGAAACAATGTTGGTTGCCCTGGTCCATTTAGTTGTTTTTGTGACTAAAAATGGTTGGAAGGAAGATGCTGCACTCATTACCAGGGTTCCCATGCAGATATGCAAGCAGATGCTTGAAGTGACTGTGCATGGCGCCACCAACATGAAGATACTTGAAGAATGTCACCAGCACACCAGTTTCTTTACAGCAAATGAGTGGCCGTGCAGGGTCCCCTTCATCAGGCTCAGAGATGACCATGTCATCTCTGAGCCTGATGAAGGGGACCCTGCATGGCCCCGAAAGCACTGGCAAAACGAGACAGCATGTATTAATAAATGACCACTCATTTGCTGCAAAGAAACTGTTGTGCTGTTGACATTCTTCAAATAAAAATGGTTGGAATTGCACAAAAATTAAAGGCCAGCAAAATCCCTAGAAACGTTTTGTCACAACTACATCAGTAAATGTGTAGCCATGCCGAGCTGTAATGTGAAAGTTTGACCACATGAAATTAGTGAACACCTGTAATTAATATGAAAATTAAATTTTTTTATTGCATCTATACCTATAGCGTATTATTATTTTATGATCTGTAAGTACTCTATTATAGTTGGTAACCCACCACCTCCAATCCCAGCAAGGTATACTTACCAGTCAGTGCTCTCACCATCTTCCCGCTGCAGGAGATTATCCGGTGTCAATCTTTAAATGGTCAGATGTCATATATACTCTAGATTTACCCAGAAATCACCATACATTGATGCCAAATCATTCACTTGATTACTTTACCTATAGCAGCCGCTGTTCCCTTAAGGTAGGTGTGCCTACTGGTACTTGGATGTCCACAGAACTTAGACTGTATGCCCTGGCTGGTTAACACTGCAGGTTGCCTCCAGGTTTGGACTGGAGATAGAGGCGATGACAATAGAGGATTCCAAGGTCAAGCTAAGGTCAAGGCTGGCAGCTGGCAAAGAGTAATCCATGGACAGGCCAAGATCAGGGATGGCAAAGAGTAATCTGTTGACAAACTGAGGTCAGGGCTGGCATAGAGTAATTTGTAGACAGACTGACGTCAAGGCTGGCAAAGAGAAATCTGTGAACAAGCGGAGGTCAGGGCTGGTTGCTGGCAAAGAATAATCCATGGACAGGCTGAGGTCAGGGCTGGCAGTTGGCTAAAAGTAATCCGTTGATGGGCTGAGGTCTGTACCAGAGAAAGACAAGAAGATCTCCAAAGACAGGATGTACAGAGACCAGGCACAGGCTAGTGTAGAATGAACTATCACATAGCACAAAGGAACAGGTTAGTAATGCTTAAATAGGGCACCACCAGAGACAAGGCCAATCCCAGAGCTGGAGGTGTGTGGTCAGATTTATTAAGCCACAGCTGACTAAGCTAGTGATGCAGCCAGCAAGACACACAGAGGCTGGATAAGTTAGCCCACACCTGATTGAGACTGGGCTGCAGCCAGCAACACAGGCTGTTTAAATTATACAGGGCAGGGAACTCCAAAAAGCAATGTGACCAGCATACTCACCATTAGAAATGAGTCAGCAGAGCTATCTAGTAGTCATGTTACCATTTGTCTGACACCCGTGGGGTCTGTAGTGAATACAAAGATTGTTGGCCCTCATCTGTCATATGAAGAACACCAAGTGCGAGCACTATCAGGCAAGACACTGCCATTTTCAAAGCAAAGCCATCACAGTAAAATAATGCATCTAGAGTAACATCAGGGAGACACTTCACTCCTTGGCTGACTGGAGGTGCTACCACAATCTATATTATCCAGCCTAAAACTACAGGCAAAAAATGTTTTGATCTAGCAGAGTGGGAAAAATACATAATTTCTCCACAGGAAACCAGGAAAAACTGAGGCTACATAATAATGATGATGTATACTCACCAGATGGAGATGTCCCCTTTGCATCCTTCTGGTTTATTTTTTATTTTTACTAACAACCTAGTACTAGATACTCCTGCAAGTGACAGTATACTGTAGACACATGAATACAGCATATGCTCATCAATGATCGATGAAGCAAAGTCTTTAATCCAGAGTGATAATAGCTGTTACTTAGAGACAATTTATTATAGGGGTTGTTACATAGTTAGACTGGTTGAAACAATACCATCAAGTTCAACCGATAGAGAATAAAAATAAGACAGAAAAACCTCTATAGACAGAACCCTATGCTCTTAGTTAACCACAGTTGACAATTTTACCCAATATTTTGTTGTACTCAGTTAACAATCAACTGTGTATAGAAATATGGTGGTTAAATTAAATCAATGGTCTTCTCTACTATTTTCTTACTTCTCAGATTAACTATATAAGGGCTTTTGATAAAATATTTAATCCAGAAAACAGATGGAATATTTGGAAATGTAAGGTATGGTAGTGTATGAAAGGAGAATGAGTGTACTGCAATACAAGAAGTATAAACATTTGATCTTATTTCAATAAAAATAACTCTAAATGAAAGTCATGGTTTTGTTTATGGTTATGATTTAGTTTGGCGACTATGTTTTTTTCTTCTTTAAAAAAAGGAAAGATTACATATGTTATGTGTCCTGTTTATTGTTATATATAGTGTAACAAGGACACTCCACTGTAGACCGGAGGTGCAAGTCAGATGCAGTTTATTTGCTTTCAAAACGATAGATAACACGAAATCCAACATAAATAGCTTGCTGTAGAATAACAGATAGGGGCTCACCAATCCTCGAGTTGTCACGTACACTCAAGGTGTCCCAGTCTTTTAACAAGTCTCTCTCGCAGCACTGCTGCTCCGGCCTCAATCTTAGTCGCAGCACTGCTGTTCCGGCCTCAATCTTTAGGGCCACTGTCTGGTTCCTCCAGACAACAGCAATAACATGCCAATCCTCTCAATATGGTTCACAAACCTGCTGCCCTGGCCTCCACACTGACTCCGGGGTGGAGCTCTCCTGACTCACAGGTGGGGCCCTGAACACATCCCAGCACACACTTCATGAGGGATGTAAACAGGTGCACAATCAGGTGCTGGTCACCACCAAAGCATGGACCCAGGAATGGAGACTTCTTCCCACCCAGAGCTCTAAGAAATCTCCTGGCTCCAGGATCCCAACCTTGATCCAGAAAACCCAGAAAGAACTGAAAAGGCAGTTCTCTCCTGGTACCAGTAATGTCTTCCTGGAGCCACTCAGCCCCTCTGGCTGAGAACCCTGGGTGACTTTGAGGCCACCTAACACCGTGGTATTGCCTCACAATGCCACAATAGTCAATAAAACCTATTACAACAAAATGGTACCTGGGATTTCCCTCCAGTGCTTTCCTGGACAGCTGACCTTGACAGGGCTGTGCTAACTGCAAAACCTTTAAAACAGCCACAAAATATGTTCCCTAATCCAAATGCCACTAATTCCTGAAAGAAAAACACATTTATATATCAAATTAACATTAATTGAGAAGTATTTTTTTTTATATATTGATCATATAATACAATTTATTGTACACATAAACCACATGACTCCAGCAAAAAGTGTTTAAAAAAAAAAAAAGTTGGATAGAGTAAACAATGATTTGCTCATGTGTCAGGTTTTCTTGCTGCCAGCATTCATGTTGAGATTTCCCTTAGTTTCCTGTCCCAAGGGCAGACTGCAATAAAAACCTGACAAGGTTCTAGACTTTTGCCATTCTAATATTAAATTGGCTTTATTGCTGCTTGTATCCATATACTAGAAGTTTCCCCTTACTTCCTGTCTTGGTGACCACTGAACAGAAATTACAGATTTTTCCACTGGGGACACAGACCACAGTAAACGTCTGGGACAACTTCTAAAGGGAAACCTCAGGCAAACATCTAATTACACACTTACACAGATGTGTTAACTCTTTTACCCAAGAAGATTACTTTAATACCTACTGGTTCAGATTTACTGCTTCCTGGATCACCTCTGTATTAGTTAGACGAAGGTGATGATACTCTTTGAATACTTGTATCACCTGCCCATCTTTGCAGTGTACCAGAGGTGTGTAGGTCACAGGATTGGCTGCAAAGAACTACAAATCCTTTGACAGCTAAACAGTTAACATATTCGAATAGTGAACTCTTGAAAAAGATTAGATTACCTGGTTTCCATTTATGGGGTAATCATGTTTGATGGAATAGACTCTGGCGACTGAAAATCCAACAGCAAAGGCCACAATAGCAATAGTGAAACCCTCAGCTATACATTCTTGGAAAATGGATATGCTTGGTGTTATAGGAGGCTGATATCTGCATATAAAAAACCACAATAGTATTTAAAAAAGCATGTATGTGGGGATATGTATATGTATCAGGCATAACTAGTATTGGCAGGGGTAAACTATGCACAAGACATGGACACCAAGGAACAGTCCAAGCAGGGCTGTCCACTGCTAGCCTTTCCCCTGTAACAGATATATGTCACTGCACTTACCCACTTTCTAATGCTCCAATTATCTGCACATGAAATTTCCTGTTGAAGTCAAATGCATATGATATGCCAGTTGCTAAAACAGTCTGTAAGAAAAAACACAAAACAGATTATTTAACCTTTTTTATTACAAATATTTCCTATAATGTAAACAAACAGTTAATGTATTAATGCAGGTTTCTAGAACAGAACCATTGTGTTTATAGATTTAGGATAACACATGCCAAAAAAAAGTTATTTGTTATCTAACCCTTTTGCTGGCAGAGCCATTTTTGAGTTTTCTGCACACATGTTAAAATGCAAATTTTAGGCCTGAAGATTACTAAAACCCCCACAATTATATATTTCCTGAAAATAGAGATCTTGTTTAAAAGTTTATATCACGTTATATTAGCTCAACTGTTTATCAAACCCAAATTTTCAATACAAAATACACTTAAGGTCATTTTAATTATAATTTTTTAATTTTTACTTAACTTTATTGCCATCACATAGGGGGCTCAAATGCGTCCTGTGAGATAACACTTTAGTGGAGACAGGTTCTCTTTATGGAGACATTAGTGATCTATAAGACCCCATTAATGTCACCATTTGCAGCCCTTTTTGGCCATGGAATGACAACTCAGAAACCAGAAGTGATGAAATCATCTTTGCTTCCTGGAACTGAACAGTTGTTCGCTGTCCTGGGCTCTCTGGGTGGGGGAGGGCAAAGCCTGGAATCATAGCCACAAGTGTCGGGGGGTTGTAGAGATCTAAGAGCTTAATACAAATTAGTAAACTAAACATGAGATTATAGTCCATCACGGGCGTGAGCTTGGAGCGGTGACTACTTTACAACACACACAGGGACCATGGGGAACAAAAGTAGCCACCCTCCAGAAGAAAGGATGACATCAGCATAAATTCAGACATGATTTGAGGATCTGCAGCTGAGTGATACACAAATACATTTTTGTTAATAGTTAGGGTACTTGAATGCATTTTAAATAATGTAAGTGCTGATATTAATGTAATTTTCATATAGGAATAATGTTTTAAAAATACTTTGCAGCAAGGAGAGGATTTTTTACATGCGGTTTTGAGGGCAACATAGAAAGTTGAGGAGGACATGATTTTTTTCTTTTAGATTTAGCTTGGCTTACATTCAGCACCACCATCTGATTATATTTTAAGAAAGGCCTTTCTTCAGGCAGTTGTAGCAGTATTGCATGCTTTGTCATAAAACAATAATAGATTTGCCTTTAACCAGTGGTTAGAATTTGGCCAGCTGTTCCCTAAGGCTGTCCTTGTTCTTGCTGATGCAAAACTGTCCTTCTAGTGCCCAATTTCTATCAAACTCTTAAGAATTGAGAGGCTTCAGTTGGTTCAGCAGGCTAAAAATTGGCCTGCAGCAGGGCAGTTTTAATAAAGGAGTATTGTTTGAAATGTATTCAAGGCACAGTCGGGTATGTTCATACAAGAATTTAGATTGTCAGCTCAGAGATGTTAGAGTTGTCTAAAATTGGCCAGCAGCAGGATAGTTTTAATCAGGAAAAATAGGCCTAATCAGTCTATGGCTAACTTTTCTTTTTACTATGGAGATAGGGGGTGGAGTGAAAATGAGTGCTATAATGTGAGCTGCTTTTGGTGTACACTGTTTTTCACTTTCAAACAGTGCAGTGACATGCTAAGAAGAAAAGGCATTTCTAAGAATAGAGGATCACCAACAAGTGATTCAAAGAAAAGTATTGTCGGAAAAAAGGTAGAGTGTATTTTCCTTCTACATGACTCTGATCTGGATATAGCCGCTGCTATTGTTTGGAGTTTGCCGCTTGCTGGCTACAAGTGGTAAATATGAAATACTAAAAGGTAATTTCAGGTTTACCTAATTCAATTACATTTTACAAATACAAGTTCTATCTACAGAATTTCTACACGTTTATGTTTATGTTTGCAACAGGGCTTACCATTATTAGCTCAACAGGGATGGGAAAGGGTATGTTCATCCGATATCGATTATTCAGTTCTTTGACAATAAGGACCACTGCCATAATAATAATTGATGTAGCAAGATCAACCATGTTTGTACTATTTATCTTCTGAAAGATGTCCTCTAGTGTCTGCAAAGACAGAAAGACATAATCATATATGAGCTCTAGTAAAGCTCAACTGAACCTTCAGTTTAAATCTTTCCAAAGCAGCTACAGCCTGTCCTCTGCCATCAGCTGCAGCGTGGGATCTGTGCTCTCAGTGGAGAAGCAGTGGTCTCTCTGCAGAGGCCTAAAACCCGCCTTACTGAGTCACACATGCTCTGCAATCAGAAAAGCTGATGCTCCTTGCTAATTGCCCTCTGCAAAGAGATCACTGCTTCCCTACAAAGAGCAACGGTCCCACCCTGTAGCTGCTGGCAGGGGACAGGCTCTTCTAACAAACTGTAAGACTTTGCACATCTTTTGTTTACCTGGAATGTATTCAGCAAATTTAGACTGAGTTTAACTGGGCTTTAATAAAGGAAAGCAAAATACAGACAATATGCAAAGTGCAGTAACCCAAAGAAGCCAATCACATGTTAGTTTACTATAATCAGAAAAGTAAATAGACATCAGGGGTGTGGAAATTTAAAAAAAAACTACTTGTCCAAGGGCTAAAGCGGGGGCAGAATCTACCTGTCCCTTGTGACAATCTACTTGTCCCAATAAAAAAAAATGAGTTTTAATCAAAAATAGGGATGCACCGATATAGGTTTTTGGATATCGAGTACGAGTACTGATATTTTGCTTTTGGTACTCGCCGATACAGCGTATTGGTGCTTCCGTTGGCATGGAGCAGGCTTCCCGGGCAATCAGGAAGCTGGGCAGTGGGTAATTACATGCTACCCAGCTTCCTGATTGCCAGGGAAGCCGACTGCATGTTGTTTGGCCGACTTGATTGTGATTGGCAGGGAAAACGGCTTCCCAGCCAATCAGGAGAACGGGCGGCGAGTAATGACCTGATTGGCCGGGATGCCGGCTCGATGTTCAGGAAGCAGGAAAGCGACTAATGACCCACCTCCCGATTTCCTGATTGGCCAGGAAGCCAGCTCCTTGCTGATTGCATAGGAAAAGTTGGCTCCATGTTCCCCTACGCCACTGCCGGTCAGAGGAAATCTTCCACTGACCGGAAGTTCCAGTATTTGGAAAGGTATCGGAGCATATACTCTGTATTGGTGCATCCCTAATCAAAACTGTATTTGACTGTACTAAATAGCGCTTCTCATTGGTCAGCATGGTCACCTGTCCACGCTGATCAATGAGTGCTTGCAATGTGCGAGCGAAATTCAAAATGCATAGGGCTGGACTGCGGTACGGGGTACAAATAGTACACCTGTACTGGCGGAGGGTAAGGACTGTTCGCTGAAAGGTAAGTATAGCCGGGGGATGTGTTTGGGAGAGATCGGGCCAGATTTGATCGGATAATTCAATTTTCCCATATTATCTGGGAAAGTGAACTTACCCTTTAATGCACATTGTGCGTGTAGGAGAGTTCTGCTGCCTGGCTACCACAATATGGCACACAGTGGAATGGCGGCAGCACTCAACGCACACACACAATGTCCTATGCATGCGTTTATTTGCATGCAGATGGCGGGGTTGGTTTAACATTTTTGTTTTTATTTACTTTATCACTTTTATTTTTATATATTTTATTAATATTTTATAACTTTATCATGTATTTTTATTCATTATTTTTTTTACTTTTTTCCCCCACTTAATTTTATTCCTATCACATAGGGGATAAAAAATCCCTTATGTGATAGTTTGGAGGTGACAGGTTATCTCTATGGAACCTGCCCTCCAACACAGAACAGATGTTCTGTGCAGTTCCTGACAGCTGAGATAGGTGGCGCTGTGATCACAGCGCCATGGTCTCACTGATAACACAGAGCAGACGAAGAACAGAGGTTCTCCGTCTGCTCTACGGCTCTATGGTGAGCTCATGTGCCGTGGTCACAGGTCCCATAGAGGAGCGGGGGACCCCGCAAACCACGGCGGCGGGGGCCGGACACGATTGCTGCCGCTCCTTTCATACAAGTGATCTGATCAGATTACTTGTATGAAAACGAGCGGCGGTCCCACGCTGTACATTTAGCTCTGCTTGTCCAGAGCAGGGCTAAATGTACAAAAAAACTACTCACCCGGCGCCCGAAACTGCCTGTCCCGTCGGGCGATAGGAATTCCACACCCCTGGATATATATATATATATATATGTATATATACAGACATTCCTCGGTTACCGACTTACCTGCTTTGCGACCACTCGCACTTACGACGGACCGCTGATCAACCTCTGACCTTGCGCGTCAGTGTCAGTGCGACGTGTCGCCGGCGGAAGTGATGTCCTCTCATCTTCACTGCGGGTCCCGGTAAGTATTTTCATTGCCCGATGTACAGTGCACTGTTCGGTACTGTACATCTGCAACACTATACAGTACTGTACTAATGAAGTAGAGTACTGTATAGAGTTCCTCACTTAACGACCAATTGGTCGTAGGAACGGAACTCGGTCGCTAAGTGAGGAATACCTGTAATATCTTGATTGGCTGCTATATGATACAGCAATTTGTACATTGCTATTCCTCTTTGCACCACCTTACTGAATAGAAGTGGACCAGGAATACTATGAAATTAAAACAATGATGATTCATACAATGATAATTCTTACATGATGTTACATTCTATATAGCTAAACAATAGCAGTATTTAAGTTTCCTTTTTGTGAAAAGATGCATCAGACATGCAGATTGAGAAAACAACTGAAAACATGAAGATACTCACGAAGAACAGTGATAAAGGTCCGCTGAAGTTTGATATCTTTATTCCAAGTATAAACTTAAGCTGAGACACCAGAACATGTATAGCAGCTGCAATAGTAAAGCCACTTATGAGAGGATCTGACAGGTAGATAACTATAAACCCAGCTTGTAACAATCCAAACACCAGCTACAAGAAAACAAAGAAGTAACATTCAGCACATTTTGTTTCTCATTATCTGTTTATATTTTTATATTTTTTATATTTGTAGTCCCCTTCTGGACATGTGGCCAGGTATGTATAGAGGGATTGCTTTCATATTGGTAAAAATCCAAATATCCCATTGATCTCAAACATAAGCAATTAATAGTGTAAATACTGTTTTAGGCCTTGTTGACACCACATGTGTTAGCCTTGTTTTCTTTTGCCATTGTTCACAGCAATGCGCTGCATTGGGGCGTGCTATAAAAAAATGAAGCAGACAGCATTTTACCACACCGTGCTCTAGGTAAAACTATATTGAGAACATAAGGATACAACAAGAGATTAGATGAAAGGGGATTCAATTTTAGAGTATGTAAAGGGTTTTTACTGTGAGTAGTAAAATTGTGGAATTCCCTTTCACAGGCAGTGGTATCCGCTGATAGCATTGATAAATTCAAGAAGCTTGCAGATGAGTTTTTTTCCACTTCATATACATGGGAAGTATTAGAGCCATATACTGAACTGCAATGGATGTAGACAATGCACCAGAGCACATACAAAAATGCACCACATGCCAATGGGTATGTGTTGACACGCACGCTGTGGGGTGAACCAATGCTTCATGACAGCAATTTTAAGAATTAATAAAGAAAACCGTAATAATATTTTTTTCTTAAAGTAAATATAAAATAATCAAATTGCATGTACCATTCAAGCTTGTAGTTTTAAGGATTAGTTTTTTTCAAAGTTGTATGAAAAGGAGGACCCTTTCCCCACTGTATGGTATTTAAACTTTTGTGTCTTTTATTGATACATATCCCCTCTGCTCTGCCAGTGTCCAGCTCCCCATGCCCATTGTTTGACAACTGTTTGCCCATTAGCCAAAACTGATTTTCAAGATTATTCA